GAAGAAGAAGAAGAAGAAGAAGAAGAAGAAGAAGAAGAAGAAGAAGAAGAAGAAGAAGAAGAAGAAGAAGAAGAAGAAGAAGAAGAAGATGATGATGATCTGTGGGAGTTTTTTTGGATAAGTAAGAGTTGATTTGTGTACACCCAGGATTTGTATTAGTTACGATGCCCTCACATGGTGACTGTACTTGATAATAAAGCCCCAGGCTGGGGAGGTAGCTTCACAACAAATGCACCTGCCTGGTGCCATGCTGGCCCTGAAACTGGGCATGGTGGTGCATGCCTATAATCCCAGCACTGGGGAGGCTGAGTCAAGAGGATCACTATGAGTCCAAACTGCATAGCAACACCCTGTATCGGTAAAGTAAAATAATTAAAAATTGATAATAAGACCTTTAAGGAGATAATTAAGTGAAAATGGACTTTTTAGGGGGTCTAATCCAACAAGACTGGTATCCTCAGAGAAAGAAATTGGGACCCAGATGACACAGGAGTGGCCACAGGAAGACACAGCGGGATAGTTCACCATCTACAAAGGAAACAGAAGGGTTGGTCTCGGGAGAAACCAACCTTGCCCATACCTGGATATTGGAGTTCCAGTCTTTAGAACAATGGGAAAATACATTTCTGTTTTGCAAGCCACTGTTTTCTTCCTATAGGCAGTGTGTCCCTATACACACACACTAGAAATTCACTGTTTCTGAGCAGCTGAAAGCACGTTGCGCAGGTGCCACTCTTCCAGGGGACAGAGGCCCCATCACTGTGCTAACGCTGCAGCACTACTCCTCCACGCAGGCTTGGTCCCCAAAGTCAGCAGAGCCTTTGCCCCAGCAAGTGCCACTCTGGCCCCTCCAGCCCAGCCTTCTCTAAGAGCCATGATAAATCGCTGGAGGTCTGGGCTGTCACAACAGCCTGTGTAGCAGAGCATCCCTCGCCACCCCAATTGCAGAATGACACGGTGAAGGAAGCAAGCTCTACAAAGGCAGACTGGAAATCCAGGACAGCCTTAGAAATCATGGGCAGAGGAGAAAGGAGCTGTCCAGGCTGGGATTCAGGGGTGGGGCTTCTTCAGTAGCTACTGCACTGTTTGCTACTGTGTCTGTGACACAGGCAGCACCGCACGAGGCTGAGCCCAGCAGCTATGGTCTGGGCCTTGGCGAAGAGCTGGACAGCATGTGCTCCCAAGCAGGCAGAGTGGGTTTTCAGAGCAACCAGGAAGGAAGTAATGTGGTTGCCCAGGCAGGCATCCAAATCCACTTACAGGAGCCTCTTACAGTTTAGCTTCAAAGCCAAACAGTTACAGATATGGCTGGAAAAACCCAACATGGATAAAGGGGTCACCATTAGGAAGCAAGTTCCAGGACAGCCCGGGAGACACACTGCGGCCCAGGCCCAAGGCCACAGAGGGAGGGCACCCTGCTTTGTGTGGGCTAAGGAACTGGGGTTGTTCTCAGAAGCCGAGCCCCCAGCTTCCTCCTGGCACCCACTGGCAGACCCCATCAGCACCCTTAGAAGACATGTAAGCAGCTCCTTGCACTTTTCTTTCATTTCACTGGTGATTCTGGACTTGCGAGGTCATTTAATTGCATCTGCCTTCCCTGCCATGCTGCATAGTGGTGAAGGCAGCTGTGCTGTGTCAGTCTCCTTTGTATTTGCAGTCCCTACTGTGGTCCCTGGCAAGAGTAGACGCTCAAGAAATATTTGTCGAATGAGTAAATGAGCTGATTAGTGTTGATAGTGCCTTCCAAAGAGAGCCTCATCCCTGGTCTGGGATACTGGGGGGCAGGGGCACCAACAGAGGAACAGTCCTCTGAGCTGAGCAGCCTGTACATACCCCCACCCCCCTGCCTCAGGATTTCAGGTGGTAGGGACCCCCTGCAGACCTGGAGAGTGTCTCACTACGGGGGAGCGCCAAGTGCTGTGGAAGGCTGGGGAGGTCCTCAAGATCAGGCTTCTGCAGACTTTAGAAAGGGCTTTAGCATGTGAGGCTAGAAAGCTGCTCAGGAGACAGGACCTGACTCGGGTTGTGATGATGCAGGGGAAGGTGGTGTGTGTGCAGCTGTTGGCGCCTTTCCCCAGCAAGCAGGACCGGACAGAACTTTATTCCCTGTGATTTTCTGCTAGGGAGCAGGATCTCATGAGAAAGAAATGGGCTAGAATTTTAATGACAATGCCCTGACTTTGGCCCAGGCCCACTGGTACCTCAGGCAAGTTCCTTCACCTCCCAGGACTGCTCTTACTCCCAAGGTTTCTAGTGTGGCTTATGTTAAGTGTCCTGTGTGCCTCACTTGACCCGCTTGCTGCCATTTTCATACGAGTCAGTCCTGGACATGATTTGGCTGAGGTTCCTGGCTCTCGCCCAGGGAGAGCTTTCTGCTAAGACCCTGCAAGTACCTGAAATCAGCCTGAGCCCCTCTCCTGCCAGTGTCCACTCACATCAGCCCTGGCAAAAGGGCGCAGCATGGACAGCTGCCTTTGAAATTGCTTTCTAAAAGGCACACGCGACAGGCGCACTGAAGGCAGGAGGGCAGTTGGCACCTGCTGCAGTTCCCTCTGTGAGTGCCACAACCTTGTCAATGCAGGAACAGAGCTCAGGTCTCTGTTCACAGCATTTTCCCATTTCGGCTTCTGCACTCAGTCTGGGTTCTCCCCTATGCCATAGTGGCCCATCCTGGTTTCATTGTGATGCTCCAAAAGTCCCTAAACCCTGCAACAGCAAGCTGTTTTCCAGAGCATTCTAGCAAAGCTATGTCTTAGGACAGGCACAGGCAGTGCAACATGGGACCTTTGCCCTGAGGCCAAGAGGTGCCAAATTACTTTAGATTCAAGGGATGGTCACAGGGCTGTCAAGATAAACTCTCCTGAGTCAAGAATATGGGCTCTATTTTTGTTGCATTGATTTATTGGGTAAATATGGCTTTTATAATAATCAGCCCCTTGCACATGCACCTAGTAAGTGGCAGTGCTATTGAATCGTCGCTGTTGTGCTATGAGTTCAACAGTGGGGCAAAAGGTACCGGCTGTGATCAAAGGAAGCCTGAGAATGAACAGGGCCTAGAGCAGAAATGCTCTCCTGCTGCACAGGCCTGAAGGCTGAGACCCTCAGAAATGCCAGCTGAGCCATTGAAGGACACAGCTTGCTTGTAAAAAAGTGGATCACCCCTTCCCCACCCCTGGCAGCGCTGAAAGTCTCACTTCTGCAGTCATTGGCTGGAATTTCCATGAGTCAACAGTAACAACCTTTAGGAACCAAACTAAATATTCAGCACTCCTGCACAGCCCAGCCCTTTCTACCCCACCCTACTGTATGGACAGCTGGAGGCTGTGCACCAGCCCAGTCTGAGCCTCATGATGCACCCATCCTGCCTCATGCCAGGGGAGGCCACTGTTTCCTCCCCTGGGGAAGGGGAACTGGACCTGTTCACTGTGGGAAAAGGTTCCCTATGCCACATAAGCCCATCTAGGCCTGATGTAACAAAGCCTTCCTCAGTCAAGAGGTCATAAATAAAGGGTGGGGCAGCACATGCTTGGTTGCCAAGGCTCCCAGGCAAGTGACTGTCAGAAAGGTTCCGCTCCACAGGCTAAAGCACCTGCACTCCACTGGCCTGGGTGGCTGTGTCCCAGTCATCTTGGTCTCCTCCGCCATGTTCCTGAGGCTCCCCTGGGCTCCTGGACTCCTCACTTGGCAGCAGTTGTGGTTACTGGTCCTGGTGGCCCCACTTCCAGAAAGGCACTGGATCCTGCCAACCACCAAGCCCCAAGAGCCCAGAGAGCCCTGGGCTTTGCCTGATCTCCTGCCAGAATTGTCCAACGCCCTGACTGTCCATCCACAGCAGAAGGGCTTTGGTAAGGTAGCATCCTCTGCTCCCTCCCAGGGCGTGGCCCCACTTCTAGAATCCCCTGGGCGAATTGGACTTTCTCAGGTCCAGCTAGAGACCCAAACTCAAAATCGAGAGACTGTAAAGGCCCATCCCTCTTCATCTCACCAAGAAGCCAAAGATGACCTCTTGCAGCCCTCTGAGGAAGCTGAGCTCTCTCTAACCCAGCAGGATACCCATGCTCAGTACGAACTTGGTCCTGAAGAGGTTATAAGCCAGCTGTTGACACACCAGGAGGAAAAAGCTCCATCTCCAAGTAGTAGTAAAGTGCATCATTCAAACATGCAATTTGTCACAGTGAAACCTGTGGACATGGAGGTCACCAAAACTACAGAGGCAGAAAAGGAGCTGCAACCCACTTCAAGCCAGAAGCAGGCCCCAGCCCAGCCCCCAGAGAGTTCTGAGAAGATGGACCTTTCCTCAAGCCAACAAAAGGTCCCACCTCAGAATCCAGAACTCTCTGAAGAGGTGGAAACTTCCTCAACAGCACAGGAGCCCGCAGCTCACCCTGTAGGCCCTCTTGTGGGGCCTAAATCTTCTGCCACTAGGAAGATAAAGCCAGGTCAACCTTTTGAGTCTCCTAGGACAGAAGAACCTTCTGGAAGCCAGTTAGAAGCCACAGTTCAGCCTTCAAAGTACCCTGAAGAGCTAGAAACTTCTCTAACCCAACTGGAGCGACTACTTAAGTTTAAAGAGCATCATGAGGAAAAAGTATCAACTTCAGGTTACCACCATGGTAGGCAGCCACACTTGCCCCATGTGACTGGTAAACCCCCAAATCTCCAGCTTGCTATAACCCCAGAACTCACCAAAGAGGAGGGAATCTTTCCAACCCATCCTGAGACTACAACTCAGTCCTTGGGATTGGTGACTGATGTAGAACCTTCTGTAAGTCATCAAGAGGTCTCAGATCTGTTTTCTGAGCCTTCAGAAGGGGCTGAGCTCTTACCATTTCAGCAGGAGTCTCCAGCTCAGGCTTCTGAACCTGCCCAGCAGGAGGCCACAGTTGGCGGTTTACAGACTTCTGAGGAGGGTGAACCATCTTTGATCCCTCAGGAGCCACCTTTGACCCCTGCCCAGCCATCAGAGCTTGCTAATGAGCTCGAAGCTCAGCCTCCAGAACTACATGAGGCAGCAGCTTCTCCTGTAGGTGACGACCAAGCTCATCCCCCAACATTCAACAGCGTTGCTGTTACACCTCCCGAGTTGTCCAATGAGGTTGAAGTAGAAAGTTCAATTGAACAGGAGTCTCTGGCTGAGTCCTCAGTGTCCCCTGAGCAATTTGAACCTCTCAGAGACACTCAGGAACTTATAACCCAGCTGCCTAACCCTGCCATAAGGGATGAAAACTCTCCATTTGATAGTGGGGTCCCAACTCCAGCCGCAGAGCTCCCTGTGGGACATTCTCTAAGCCAGCCTGAGAGCTCACCTCTGTCCCCAGACTCCTCTGCTGATGTAGCAGTTTCACCAATCCAGGAAGAGCTCTCAGATCAGCCTTCGAGACCCCCCATGAAATTTACTCTTTCCTTTTTGATGAAAGAAGGAGTAACATTTTCAATCCAACCTTCAGAGCCATCTGAGGACAGAGAACCATCTTCAGTCCCCCATGAGGGTGCCACTCCACCTTCAGAGTTACCTGATGACATAGAACCTTTTGGAGCTCAGGGGATGACCCCATCTCAGCCTGCAGAACTCTCTGAGGCAGAAGAACCAGCTCCTGCACAGCAGCCAGCCATGGCTCCTCCTCTGATGCCTTCTGAGGAGGTAGAACTTTCTCCAGCCCAGCCCATCATGCTGTCTCAGCCTCCAAATGAAAGTACAGTTCACCCTCCACCCCATTACAAGACGACAGTTCCAACACCAGCTCAGGGTCAAGCTCAGCATCCCATCATCACGTTTAATCCTTCAGACTTAGAAATCACTTTACTTGCAGAGCCTATGGCAGAGGACAAACCTTCTACAGTCCCAAAGAAGCCTACAGTTCTTCCTCCAAAGCACCACGTGGTGACGCATCCACCTCCCACCCAGATTCAGACTCAGCGTCCAAAACTCAGTCTCCTCACAGTTCAACCACTGCACCAGAAGCTTATCAAAACTCCACAAGCTAGTGCTGTACTTAGACCCTCTCCAACTGGGCAGGTGACCCCACCTCAGCCTCCAGAACCACCTAAAGAAGCTGTCACTCAGGCGCCAATGCCTCATAATGTCAAAGTTGTAACTCTAGCTCAGCAACCAACATCACCCAGGGTCACAGACCAACCTTTACACCTAGAGCACACAACTCCAGCAATCTCCACTGAGGCTCAGTACTCTGTAGCCCTGCAAGAAGCTGAATCCCCTCCAATACCCCCTGAGGTGACGCTTGTACCCCTGGAGCAAACTCAGGCTCAGCAGCCAACCCTGGCTGAGGTCTCTGTTCAGCCTATGGATGTGGAACTTACGATCACTGAGTATTCTGTGGATTACTCTCCAACCCAGGCTTTCACTGGGCAGGAGAAGCAGAACACCAGGACAGACACCGGGCTATGTGAGCTCTGTACATGTCAGAGTGACACCTTGTCATGTACTGGCCTTAGCCCAAAGTGGAAGCTCCACCAAGTGCCTGTACTAGAACCCAACACTACCTTCACCACTATAAATTTCCAAGAAAACTCTATTTTTTACCTGGCTGAGAATATTTGGACAACATACAAGTGGGCTGAGAAACTAAATCTCAGTGAAAATGACCTGACTGAATTACATAAAAATTCCTTTAAAGGCCTGCTGTCCCTCCAGTATTTAGATTTATCCTGCAATAAAATACAGTTTATTGAAGCACAGACATTTGAACCACTACCCTTTTTGCAGTTTATAAATCTTCGTTGCAATTTACTCACACAACTGAGCTTTGGAACATTTCGGGCATGGCACGGAATGCAGTTTTTACAAAAAGTCATCCTCAATCATAATCCTCTGGCAACTGTTGAAGATTCCTATCTTTATAAATTGCCAGCATTAAGGTATCTAGACCTGGGGACAACACACACACCACTTCCTGTGGTGGAGAACATCCTCATGATGACCCTCGGCTTGAAGACGCTGGTCGTGCCGAGGCACATGGCTTGCTGCCTCTGCCAATTTAAGAGTGATATCGAGGTTGTCTGCAAAACAGTCAAGCTGCACTGTGATGACACCTGTGTGACCAACACCACCCAGTGTCTCGAGGAAGCCCCCATCGGGAACACAGAGGGAGCGTTCATGAAGGTGTTACAGGCCCGGAAGAAGAACACCAAGACTGAGCTGGTGATCGAGCCTGAGAAGTCTGCAGAAGAAAGTGCTGTCAACTGGCTGGACTTGCAGAACGAGGAGCTCGACTCTAGTGATGAAAACGAAGTGATCGGAGCGCTTAATTACCTATTGCCTTATTTCTCAGAGGAGAACCTGGAAGATATACACTCATTATTGCCATTCATTCGATTGCTTTTCTCAAACATGCAACACGAAGCTAATCCCCACAGTGATTCAAAAGGAAATGTGCAAAGAAGACCCTCTCATCAACAACCTGTATCCACCAGTTCAGCTTATGGAAATGAGCTGAAGAAGCTATATTTTCTACGAAATTGGTTAAATGCAGAAATTCAGGGTAAAATTGAGGAGGTTAAGAAGAAAGAAAAAATAGGCAAGATTATGCAGTCCAGAGTTTCAAGTTCCAAATTTCAAATCATTCCCAGGAATTTAGCAGGTGCTCAAGCACAAGAAAACAGACTGGCAGAGGATGGGCACAGGAGGAGAAGGCTGAGGACCATGGACCAGGTCCTCAAGGGCCCAGAGCGCTTACAGAAAAGACTGTTCAAGGAATGGCAGAAACGAGTCCGGGAGAAGCAAAGCACCCTGCCACTGGTGGAGCATACTGCAGATATGTGGAGCCTTGGCAGCCACAGCCCAGGGAAGCCAGGGCAGAATGACAAGGCGCTGAGGCCCAGAAACTCGGTGCGGAAGCTGTTCAGTACACAAGAGAAGGAGCCCGTATCTCCCTCCCTGAAGGGTCCCCTGCTGGGCAAGTCAGCCATCTCCATCCCTGGCAATGCCCTGTGGGAGGTAAAAAACAGGGGCAAAGACTTCACCAGCAGCATTTTGCTTTTAGAACATGCCAGAGCTAAAGTTAAAAGCATGAAAGCTAAGCCAATATTCACTTTCCAAAAAAGTCCTAGCTTTCCTAAAACTCACTCTCTCGTGGCCCCCAGGACACCCCAGCCCAAGCCGAGGGAGCAGCTCACCAAGGAAACCATGCGCCAGAGGCTGAGAAGCGCAGAGAGGCCTCTGTTCTGGGCTCTGAGGAGCCTCATCCACTCGCCACAGCGAGGGCTGCCCTGGTCCTCTGGAGAGCTGCACATTCAGGAGAGCGCTTTGTCCCAGTTAAATGCCCCTGCTGAGCCTTCTGAAGGGAGCACTGCTGCTGCTGCTGCTGCTGCTACAGAGAACCAAAGCGCAGGAAACACTTCTGAAGGAAATGTTTTTACAACAGACTCACCCATTTCTGCCACGGTGGCAGCACTCAGCCTGACGCCCCCCAAGGTGACGGCTCCTGACCTGATGTCCACCAAGGACCACGCCAATGACACGCACTGGGAGTACCCCAGCATCAACACCGACTCGCCCCCTAACAGCCCCTCTTTCCCCTTGCTGCCTTCACCAGGGGATCAGTTTGAGAGCCAGCTGAACCAGCAGCTCCACGTCCTTATCCCCAACAAGGAGGTGAGGCGGCTCATCTCCTACGTTATCCGCACCTTGAAAATGGACTGCTCTGATCCCCGCGTGCAGCTGGCCTGCGCCAAGCTCATCTCCAGGACTGGGCTCCTGATGAAGCTGCTCAGTGAGCAGCAGGAGGAGAAAGTGGCCCAGACCCAGTGGGACACGGAGCAGTGGAAGAGCGACACCTACATCAACGAGAGCACAGGCGCGGCGAGCGGTCAGCAGGAGCAGGGCGCATCCAAGTTCGGAGGCAGATCTGAGGGAGCCCCAGACCATGGCTTCAGCAACAAACTCATCCTTGCAATCTCCATGACGGTGGTTGTGATGCTTCTGATCGTCATTTTCTGTCTTATCGAGATTTGTTCCCACAGAACAGCTTTGGAGGAGGGAGGGTCCTCCAGGGGCTTTTTCCACCAGAGAAGGAAGTGCTCAGCAGAAGAGAACCCAGAGGGCTTCTCCTGGTTTTGGCGGCCCCTGTGGCTCAGGGACATGAACAGACCCCTCAGTGTCACCCGCCAGCAAAGCATGGCACAGAAGCTGCACGACAAGGACTCCTCGGATGAGGACGCGACCACCAGGGACACAGGGGAGCTCAGCGAAGGCCTTGCGGAGGAGGGGTTCACAGAGGTGCCCACAGGCGGAGATGAGGAGGCAGGCGAGGCACCAGAAGCACCGGAGGCATCTGAAGCACCGGAGGCGGCAGATGAGTGACCCGTCCTCCCTGAGGGTGACCGGCAAATTTTATTTTGGCATTCCTTACAAAATAATTACCTTTCTCAGATTACAATATATGAAATTCAAAATAAAGTAAAAGGCACTCGTGTGCATCCTGGCTGTGCTGACTGCACCTGGAGCAGGGACAGTGTGTCCAGGGCTTGTAGGCATGTCACTGAGAGGGCTCCAAAGGCAGCCTCAGCGACTCTCAGGGCAGGGCACACAGAGCCCTGTGTGAAGGATCAATGTGACAAAGACAGCAGGTACCAACTACTGGACATGTCTTACTTATGCACTTAACTGTCTAACTCCCCAATCTGTGTGTGTGTGTGTGTGTGTGTGTGTGTGTGTACCTGTGTGTGGATGGGTGTTAGATACAAATGGCATGCTATAAAGCATACTTTTATTTTTGTGCTGGGGCTCAAACCCACATCTCTCACACTGAGCTATAGTCCCTAGCCCTTTCTAATTTTTTTTTTTTAACTTGGATATAAGATTTTGCTAAATCACTGTGTTGCCCGCGCTGAGTTCATACTTACAGTGCTCCGGCCTCAGTGAGATCTCGGTGTGAGCTGCCATAGCTGGCTGGAACATACTCCTGGAGTCGCCCTGACCCCATCATGTGTGTACATAAACTCGATCAAGAGCAAAACAGGCAGAAGTCCCAGTCCCAGGTCATGGGCATAGTGTTTTGTGTCATCAGCCTTTCAAGAGCACTTAGCGCAGGTGAGTGTTTCCCCAGGTGATGGAGGAGTCTGGGAGGGGTGACACCCTTCACCTCTACTCTAGACAGAAAGCAACAGATACTAATCACACAGGCAGCTACCAGTGCCCCCTCTGGCTGCCAGTGCATTCACAGCCTCTCTCACCATTCCAGTGTCATTAACCCCGAAAGATACATTACCTGCCCCCAGTCACTCACAGGAGAGATCAGTCATCCTATATACTGCATGTGGATGGAAATGTGTTCATCCACATTCATTCTTGAGTGTGAGGCTAGGACCTAGACTCCAAAGGTTCACTCTGGGGAACCAAAGACAAGGGCTGACTGGCCCATTGACCTCTTGTGATTGTCCAGAGCCTGAGCTTGAGGTGAAGACCATTTATGGAGTATTGACTGTGTGTCAGATGCAGTGCTACCAGTCCTACATCGTCTAGAGCCCGGTAAGGAAGGCTGGCAAACAGGCCGCCCTATCACAGAGCTGGAATGATTGGGGCTAGCGAGGGCAGAAGCAGAACAGAGGTGTTGGCATGGGTGGTGGGGATGGAGAGGAGTAAACGGGGTTGGGAGAGATCAAGGATGGAGGAGAACTGGGCTTGGCTGAGCTGGGAGGAGATAGTGGGCACTGTGACCCCCAACTCCCAAGCTGGTGGCATCCGAATCTGGCTAGAGTTGGGACCTTTGCTGCACAGAAGGAAAAGTGATGGATTGGAGGAAGCTGAAGATGGGTTCTGCTCTACGTGTGTGATGATAAAGTTCCCAGGCACTTCCAAGGGCAGGGGTCCTTCAAGTAGAGGAATAATTTAACATTAGGTATCATTTAAAGAAAAGGGGAAATCAGACACAAGTGAAATATTGCATGGGTTCTCTTACCTGAGAAACCCAAAATAAGAGGAAGGAGTAAAATGGAAAGGTCATAGGAAATAGGAGATCTTTTGTGAAAGGAAAAGAGCACAAGATATGGGGCGGGGGGACTCATCGAGGGGACAGTTCAGAAGGAAAGGAAGGAATGAAAAGAGCCAGAGGCTGAGTTCTGTATGCGGACCAACTCCCCGTGGAATCTCATCTTTATGCTGAAGACAGGGACTAATAAGAAAGTAAAATTTTTAAAAAATGAATAAGGGCAATTTGGTGACACGAGTCCATAATCCCAGCAGTTTGGGAGGGTGAGGCAGGGAAATGACAAGTTTGAGCCCAGTCTGAGCAAATTAGCAAAATTAAAAAGGACTGGGGATGTAGCTCAGTATTAAGACCCTAGGACGAGTCTTAGTACAGAAAGAAAGGGACAGAGAGACAGAGAAAAGTTTATTTTAATATATTTAAACTTTAGAGTGTTAGAGACATGGGACCTCCTACCTTTGACAAAAAGCTGATTTATGGCTCTGCTCCATCTCCTAAGTCTTATTTTTGAAACAAATACTACATCAGCCTGAGAGCAACTGCAGAGGAGATGGGCAGACCCACCAGGAACACAGTCCATATTTAACAGTACTGCTCCGTGGCTGCTGCCCTGCACCTCCCCCACTGTCAACTAGAAGGACATCTCATCAGTCTGTATGGTCTCAGTGTGCTTCCTGTCTCCAGCACCCCAGACATGTCCAGAAATAAGTACAAAAGAAGCAAGTGACCATCCTGGGGAACCTGGCACAGTGACACTCTAAGTCTTGTGCCTTTGAAACCCAAACAAAACTTTCTAGCAAATCTGTTACCTGTGATCATAGGTAAAGGGTTTCACTGGAGGTGGGCAAAAGGATCAAAGCTGTTCTGAAACTTCAGGATGTTAAAGTCTTAGTGTTCTCTGACTAGAATTCAGACCAGAAGAAAGAAGTGTTTTAGTCCTCTGAGCAAAGACAAGACTCACTTTGTGCCCCTTTAGAAATTCATACACTCATTCATTGAACCAGTGGCTTTTGGGCCTCTTCTGTGGAACGGGGTGGGATACAAAGATTCAACATTCCTGTGACTCTCAAGAAAATAACACAGGAATAACCAGGACTGGTGTTGAGCTCTGCTCTCCTTACCTTATAGATGGTGAAAATAAGACAGGGCAGTTAAGCTATTTCTCCAAGGTCAGTAGTTGGTAAGTGAATGGATTAAAACCAAGCAATCTTCATTACAGGTGACTCTGTGAGACAAGTGGCCTTTACACAGGACCTACAGCAGCAGGTTGGCCCACAAGCAGGAGTGGGGACAGCTGGCCGTGTGCTCCAAGAGGACACTCTACTATGGAAAGGCCAGGCATACTTGGAGGTACAAGTAGCGATCCAGCTGGGGAATTTAAAAGGTCTCGAAATGGACCAGCTACGGAGGGTCACCTTGAGAAGTAGTTTGCCTCTGTAGGTAATGGGAGGCTACAGGACATTATTGAACTTGTGTAATTGATCAGAACTGTACTCTAATCCCTGGGCCAGTTGTGCCAGCCCCACCCCCGGGGCACACTGAGACAGAGATTGAGACTGGTTGGTGCATTCCTGTAATCCCAGCACTTGGGGAGGCTGAAAACAGGAGAATCACTATGAGTCTGATCTACGCAGTGAGACCATGTAGACCCTGTAGACCCTGCACTAAATACAGAAAGAAAGAAAAAGAATTGGAGATGCACCTGCTGTTTCAATGTCTCAGTGATCTCTGTTTGATTCCACTGGGAGGCATCTGGCTTTTCCTAGGCATATAGGGGCTAGAACTGCCATCCCTGACTACTTTAGTCAGCTTTCCTCTTGCTGTACAAAATGCCCAGTGCCCACAGTTTAGAGGATAGTTTTGTTTGACTGATAGTTCAGGGAATTCAGTCCATGGTCCAGAGGCTCCAAGCCTGAAACATCCTCATGGAGAGGCCTGGGTTCATGGCAGAGCAAGGGAACAAAGCCAGAGAGCAGCAGGACCCCAGGCCATGCCTCCAGGACCCACCCAGACACACCCAGCAGCAAGTTCTAGACACTTGGGACAAATCAGGATTAACAGTCACTGATTAAGCAGCCGCTTCTGTCTGACTCTGCCCTTTGGTGGGTAGTCGTCTCTCTCACACCTGAAGGAGGAAAGAAAAACTGGTTTTCTCTTCAACAATAACTTTTTGAATAGTCTAGCACCTCATTCTGGAGCATGACTGAGGAATGAGTTTCACAAGAAACTGAGCCTTAAAATAGCATAAGCACAGGCCCTTTTAGCACCAGATCTTATTTGTTGAAATTAATTGAGAAGGTTCAGATTGATTTTATACTTTGCTACCAAGAGGAGCAAAGCTTAACTTCATTTTAGCATTTCATAGTGACTTAGAGTGACTGTTACATACATCACTTATCATAATGCAGTATATGGTGTATACAAAGCGCTCCGAGTACTGGAAATGTTTAGGTTTGCTGGAAACACCTCCTGAATTCCAGGCTGTTCTGCTAAGGTTCCTCTTTGACCTTTCCAGTTCAGAAGTTTTTATAGTCACTGTGCCTTCTCAGTGCTTCTAATTTTTCTGCATTTATTTCTTCATGGTAATTTCTCCTGTCATTTGTATTACCCACTAGTCCATCCCTCTATGTTTTTTATCCGACTTTTAAGGTTCTCCAGTCTTCCTTTCTTCCATTTATTTTGCGTTGCATGTTGTGTTGGAAAGCACACATGCACACTTGGGACTGGCCTCTGCCAGAGGCCCACACAAGCTGTGCCTCAGAAGCTCTGGCACATGAGCGGTTCAGCTGCTGAGCCCCTTTCCCCAAATATAGACCAAAGCAGTACTGTAGCTCTTGAAGTTTTGCATTAGGACTAAGACAGTAATGATATTAAAACTTTCCCTGTACAAATTGACAGTAATTGTTTTTGGTTTTGTTTTGTGTTTTTTAATGGTTGTTGTTACTGTTTGCTTTTTGCAGCACTGGAGATTGAACCCAGGGCCTTGGTACTGGGCTACATCCCTGGTGCTTCTCTGTCTTTTATTTTGAGACAAGGTCTCACTAAATTGCCTGGGCTAGATTCAAACTTACAGTCCTACTGCCTCAACACCCCCCCCAAAAAAGAGTGGTCATTATTTTTATGTGAATGTTTATAGGATTTGGTTTTTATTGGCATCATCAATATAAATAGAACCAGCCCATAGGACTCCAGAGAGTTGGATCCAGGTACAGACAAAGGAAGAGTAAAGTAAGGGAGACGCCAGCAAGGGACAGAGAACAGAAGCCAAGGGTCCAACTTCTGAAGGTCTCCATGGAGTTATGGATCTGTTACCATGCTGAGTAGAATCTAAAGATGGCTCGAATATAAATGGATGACACTAAAAGAATATCGAGAAAAGAAGAAGTCTTAAGTAAAAATCTTCCCTGTTTCTAAA